TTTGGGACCGCGTGCATAATATTGAGGGTTCCTACGGCGCTTTCTTTGTCCCACTCTTGTGCCGAAATGGAATATGTCCTGCGAGCCTTGATGAACAGGCTGACGTTCTTGGTGAGCACTTCGAATTTGATTCTAGTTCCGAACACTATACGCAATCATTTAACCGGCATAAGCTACATGCAGAAAAAAAGATTGTGCCCACGACCGGTGGTTTGCAAGAGCCCTATTACTCTCTTTTCATGCTGCACGAACTGCACTTGGCTCTTGATTCGTCCAGACAGACTGCCCCTGGACCGGACCGTATTCACTCCCAAATGCTTCAGCACCTTCATCCATCTACTCTAGAGCTCATCTTGTATCTTTTCAACCGAGTTTGCGTCGAGGGTCTTTTTTCACTGTCCTGGAAGGCTGCCGTCATTATCCCCCTTTTAAAGCCAGGAAAAGATCCTGCCTGCGCCTCCAGCTTCAGGCCTATAGCACTGACTAGCTGTCTTTCGAAGACATTAGAAAGAATGATTAAGAGAAGGCTGATGTTTTATTTGGAGATAAATAATCTTCTTGACAGGCACCAATGTGGTTTTCGTTCAGGACGATCCACGGTCGACCATCTAGTTCGCTTTCAGACTGTAGTGCGAGAGGCATTTGTAAATAAGCAGCATTGTGTCTCTGTCTTTTTTGACTTGGAAAAGGCATTTGATACAGCCTGGCGCCATGACATACTGCAGGATCTGTTTAGCCTTGGTGTGCAGGGCCTAATGTTAAGTGCCATTCAGAGTTATCTCCAAAACCGGACTTTTCGCGTGAAGCTTGGGACAACTTTTTCTAGAGAATTTTTGCAGCAAAATGGAGTTCCTCAAGGTAGTGTACTTAGCGTCACTTTTTTTTATTGTGAAGATGAATTCAATTGTCCGCGCAATAGCTCCATGTGTTCAGTACTTACTGTACGTTGATGATCTGCAGATTTCAGTATTGTCTTGTAATCCATCCATATGTGAACGTCGGCTCCAGCTCACAATCAACAACTTGGTCAAATGGGCTGATGTCAACGGTTTTAAATTTTCTCCTGAGACGACCGTCTGTGTGAGTTTCTCTCGTCGCCGTTGAGTTTTGCACGAACCTTCTTTGACTACGTATGATGTTCCTATCCCATAGAAAACTGAACACAAGTTTTTAGGTCTTATATTTGATTCCAAATTGACTCTTGTTCCACATGTCAAGAGCCTGAAGATGAAGTGTTTTAAGTCACTTAATATACTTAAGGTCATGTCGCATGTGACCTGGGGTGCTGACCGTCTTTGTCTCTTACGTATCTATTGGTCGGTCGTTCGATCCCGACTTGATTACGGTTTTATTGTGTATGGCTCTGCCCGGACATCGGTTCTCAAATTGCTGGACCCTGTTCATCATTAGGGGCTGCGGCTTGCTACCGGGGATTTTCGCACATCTCCTGTCCTCAGCCTATATCCAGAAGCAAACGAGCTCTCTCTGGAGAAAAGAAGATATGAACTGGACTTCACGTATTTTATGCGAATTAGATCGGTTCCTAACCATCCAACCTTACACTGCATGGAACAAATACGCTATGAGCGAACTTTCAGTAACAAGCCTTCAGTTGTTCCACCTCTTGCCATGAGGGTTCGCAATTCTGTGGAGTCTGAAGGACTGGACGTGTTGCCTCCAGTTGTACAGTGCATGAGTTCGGCAGCCCCTTGGGATCTAGTTCCCATTCATTGCGAACTGGAGCTAACAAAATACAACAAAAAAGACACTCCTCGTGATGTCCTGAGGCAAAAATTCCTTGAACTCCAAGACCAGTATCATGGCTTTACAAGTTTCTACATGGTAGTAAAACTGATTCCTCTGTGGGCTGCGCAGTGATCGGGCCTGAGATGCAGCTTGTCCGGAGAATAAATGACAGTGCCTGTAGCCTTACGGCAGAGCTTATGGCTTACTCCTCGCCACAGATAAGATCCTCAAACAAAAGCGTCACAAGTCAATTGTTTACACCGACTCACTTAGTGCTGTACGAGCTCTCGCAAGAGTGGGAGATGATCGCAATTCACTTGTAATAGAAATACGGAACAGGCTAATTTCAGCCACAAAACGGAAGAAAATAATATTATGCTGGGTTCCTTCACATGTCGGAATTGCCGGAAATGAGGATGCTGAGAGAACAGCAAGTACTGCTAAGGATCGAGAAATCGACTTGTGGAAAATACCTTACAGAGATTATAGACATGTTCTGAAATTTTCCATAAGACGCAAGTGGCAAGAGGAATGGGACCGAGAAGTAAACAATAAGTTGCACGGAGTAAAACCACTACTTCAGGATTGGGAGACTGCACGACACCGCGAGCGTTTTTATGAGGTAGTTTTGTGCCGACTGCGAATTGGTCATACCCGTCTTACCTATGGGCATCTTTTGCGTAGGGAGGATGCTCCAGAGTGTGAACACTGCCACATTCTGTTAAGCATCCTACATATCTTACTTGTATGCCCTTTGTATGACCAAGAACGCCACAGACACTTTGCTAAGGTTTACCAAGAGCATACACCATTACATCTCGCCTTTTTACTCAGTGATGAGCCGCTGATTCCACACAAGTGTGTTTTCAACTTTCTTAAGGATATAAGACTCCTGGACCAGCCATAATTTTAATATTTCGTCGTATTCATTGCCACATCTTATGCGCTTGTACTTTCATGATCATTGTTTTATTAAATTACGAGCCCCCCCCCCCCCCCTACTATAGCTCTTTCTTCTCTTTCACCTTGATTTCAGCAATAGTCCTGTTTGTTGGCGCATTATAGCCTTGGTCGCTGCTGCGCCATTAAACACCAATCAATCAATCAATCAAGCTTTCAGCATCTCGTGCACCTCGCACGCGCAGCCAAAGAATGACCGAAGGCAAGGAACTTTCGCTGGAGGCCGGGCGTTCGAAACACACGCCCTGGACTATAGTCGACTGGCGCTTGGTAACAATTGTTCTATTGGTGAATATTTAGGTTCGGGTTCGTGGCCAATCGCTGGCGGAAGATACGCATACAGCAAACAAAGTCGCTTGCCAAAGAAACAAAACTAGAAAATGCGCGATTTACAATTGTGTTCGCCAGCCGGCAACGGCCTTTCGTATCTTCGAGAATTCTACGAGACTTCACGCTACAGCATCTCGGAGTTCCGCAAATACAACTCTCCATGGTATACTTCCCGCTCGCGCGTATCGTTCATCCAATTCTGCTTGCTTGTAGCTGCCTTTAACAACCTCTGTAGCTCCTATATACAAGTTTTTTTGTTTTTTTTTTATTATTACTCTTTACAGACTTGTTCTTAAGAAAAGCCATGAAAGTTACGTATGCGGTTTGTGCGAGTGAGTTATACAGCCAGGTGGACATTGTATGGGTGGCTTATTTTTTCAATAAGTCGGCTAATTAATTAAAAATCACTCATTAATTTTTGATTAGTGAAAATAGACATATGTTTCCAAATTTAAACTTGCTGAGCCCTATAAAAAACCGCTAACTCAACTCTTTTGTGAACGACTTGAAGCTCGTGGGACACTCTGGGGCGCGCCCCAGAGTGTCCCACGTTACCACTCGTGAAGCAGGCGCAAAGCCAGCAGCGGCGGAATGCGGATCATTAGATTATTATCACGTTCCGCCGCTGCTGACTTTGCGCCTGCTTCACGAGTGGTAACTTTGGCGCGCCCCCGAGTGTCCCATGAGCTTCAAGTCGTTCACAAAAAAAATTGAGTTAGCGGTTTTCTATGGGGCTCAGCAAGTTTCTAATTGGAATCATAGGTCTATTTTCACCAATTAAAAAGTTAATTAACGAATATTAATTAATTAGCCGACTTATCGCAAAGATTAGCCACTCACATAGTGTCCCCCTGGCGTATATAACTCACTCGTATTAACCGCATAAGTGTAGTTTTTATGCCTTTTGTGTTTAAAAAATATGTAATTAATAAAACAAAACACCCTGAACAAACATTTCGGCGGAGCAAGTCGCGTCTTCTTGCAGCGGGCACTTTACGGCTACGCGATACAAAAGTAGATAACTGTTCGCGTTGCAGAAAGAATGCAAGTCGTTTGCTCGGTGACACGAGAATGCTGAACAGAAGCGGTTCTCAAATTGGGGTCCGCGGACTCTTTGGGGTCCGCAAAGGCATTCTAGAAGTCCGCGAAGCCCTGCCTCATCAGTCAAGCCCGACAATAAAAGTTGTATTTTTTTTCCAGATTGAGAAGAAACGTTTCGAGGTCCGGGTGAGTTTTCTGGTGTGTACGTTAACGAAAGAAGTCTACTTCACACTAGCCCTTAGTTAGATCCACTTATTAACTCATTATCATAATTAACATATACCTTTCCCTTCCCCTCAACACAAACGGGGTCCTCCACCATCTTCGCAGATCCACAAGAAGTCCTCGAAATATCAATGGTTGAGAACCACTGCTGTACAGAAACAACGTGTGTATGTTATTGAGCTTAAGCTTTATTCCACTCACGTCCTGACAGACGGTACCTTAGCAGTTAAGGTGTCTCTGGTTATTAAGAATCATAAACATTTTCACAGCTCTGATTAACATTCTTGCTGAAAGCGACACAGCGGGAAAGGACGTGGTGGATGCCATTTGCAACTCGGACAGGATGTGACATCAGCAAACGCTCTTTCCATCTTGTTTTCTCATTACCAAGCAGCAAGATAAAATTTTGTCCTTGTGGCAGAAATTGATGTCAGACCCACCTACCCACTGCTTTTGTCTGGAGGTGTTTTGAGTTTCGAGGCCGATTATTCCCGCTTTTGGCGCAAAACTCCTGATTCGGTTGGATCATTAGTATGGTGGCAGAAATCGACCAAACGTGGTAATGGTCAGGTGTTCTGTCAAATTTACTTTTTTTACTGTTTTTTTTTTTCGGATAAATTTGTTTGCTTGAGCAGCAAAGTCGCTTCGTAATTGAGTACATCCAGGTCCGATCTGTCATAGGACGTAGTGAAATACAGCTACATTCGCCTCACCTTCTTCCTAATACTCTCAGCGGTCTCGTAGGAGCGCCACCTTCTTCTTTTCTTGCTGAAGTCATAAGTAATGAGGTCATCTGTCCCAACTCGTCCACGGGTTAATGGGTCCCGGCATACCTGGAAAATGCTTGCTATATTGTTGAACCTCGTACAATCGGCAATAACTGCATATGCCTGTTACCCCGACATACCTGGTTATATATTAAAGGCGGTTTCGCAATATTTACACTTTAAGCTCGTTATTCCTAGACTTTCAACTCATCTTGAAGTTGACCTTCTTTTTTATCAAGTGAATGTTTTATGTTTTTAGTTTAGAATATTTTATCTCAAATATCGTGACGACGTGTCTAGCCCCTTCTTTGTGAAAATTCTATATACACACTTGAAGTGAGCTATGCCATCACCATTTCCTAAACTAATGGCTGTCCAAATTTACCATGCCTACTTTCACTGACCGCTCACATCATATGGACAAATTTTCTTTTGAACAAATTGAATACTGCTACAAGAATTCAATGGAAGCTCTTCAGGGTTCCATAAAATTCTTAAAATCAAAATAGTGATTGAATTATATAGATGCATACCAGCTCATACGATTCCAGGAGGCAGTGGGAGCAGGCGATATTCCAAACACCGTCAATTCCGCCCAAGCTTGACTCTGCCACTTGGAACTCCAGGACGCCCAAGGAAAACGATAACGCGAATGTTGTGTTCTCGTCCTTTTCCTTTTTAATGACGTTCAAAGCGGCACTCTGCAAAGGGAGAATAGTTTAGTCTTAAAAAAAAACGAGTTTCGTTCGTTGGTTTAGTAAATGTCATTAGAAGGTCACGCGCATGTTGTCTGATTGTTTATTTCCCTATTCTTTTTTATCGATTACAAACAGCAGTTTGCAAACCAGTCAGCGTTAAATAATATTTGCTTTGTTAATAGAAATTAAAACAAAATGGCTAAGATAAAACTACCTTTAAACGAACCTTCGACATCAATATATTGTCCAAAAATACCTTCCTCTACAGAGATTATATTGTCACGAAAGACGATTGAGGAGGCAAAAATAACTGAAGAAACTAAACGTTTAATGGGGCGAACTTGTGCTCAAAACAAAATAAAAAAAAAGGAAACAGGAGAAAACAGCAGAGCGTCGCGGGCGTCGATGTCGGCGAAACCGCAGGATCGAGCGCAGGGACGAGACTGACTCTGGCTCGCCACGCGAAGCCCCTTATGTACACGCGGGGGCTTCTGGAATAATCGTAATAGAAGGTTCGACGCGTAGAACATTCGTGTTCGTACAAAACCGCAGTGCTCGTACAAAACCGCGGGGAACAGCGCTTCCTTGTCCCTCTAGGTGCTCGATGAGTGCTCGCAGCTCAGGGTCGTCTCGTAGGAGTGCTGCCATGTCGCTGACATCCAGAGCGCGGAGGGAGCACTCATCGTCGTCCTCTTTGGTGCAGCCAGGAGCGTCCTCGACTGGGGCCCTTGACAGGCAGTCGGCGTCATTGTGCTTCCGGCCGGACTTGTACACCACGGTCATGTCGAACTCCTGCAGTCGGAGGCTCCATCGGGCGAGGCGTCCGGAGGGGTCTTTCAAATTCGCCAGCCAGCAGAGCGAGTGGTGGTCTGTGACCACGGGAAAAGGACTTCCATACAAATATGGGTGAAACTTTGTTATTGCCCAGACGACAGCGAGGCACTCCTTTTCAGTAGTTGAACTGTTCCTCTCCGCGCTAGACAGCGTCCGACTTGCGTATGCGATGATTTGCTCTGCACCGTCCTGCATTTGGACTAGTACCGCACCCAGCCCGGTGTTACTGGCGACGGTGTGGATCTCGGTTTTAGCAGACTGGTCGAAATGGCCAAGAATCGGGGGCGTCTGGAGTCTTCGTTTCAGCTCGTCGAATGACCTCTGGTGTTCTTCTGTCCACTCGAGCTTTACGGCGTCCTTCGTGAGGTGTGTCAGCAGTGCGGACAGCTCGGCGAAGTCTCGAACAAAGCGCCTGCAGTAGGCACAGAGTTTGAGAAATCTTCTCACGGCCTTCCTGTCAGCCGGCGGCGTAAATGCAGCTACGGCGCGGGTCTTCTCGGGGTCAGGTAGAACACCTTTGTTGTTCACGACGTATCCAAGGAACTTTAGTTCCCCATAGGCGAACCGACACTTTGTTGGCTTGAGTGATAGGCCGGCGGTCTTGATGGCTTGAAGCACGCCTCGAAGTCGTCTGAGGTGTTCGTCGAAATCTCGTGAAAATATCACGACATCGTCCAGGTAGACGAGGCAGCTCTGCCATTTCAGACCTGCCAGCACGGTGCCCATGACGCGCTGGAACGTGGCTGGTGCTGTACAAAGTCCGAACGGCATCACTTTGAATTCGTACAGTCCGTTGGGAGTGACGAAAGCAGTTTTCTCCCGGTCACGTTCGTCGACTTTAATCTGCCAGTAACCACTCTTCAGGTCCATTGACGAAAAATATCGGGAGTGGCGCAGTCGGTCTAACGTATCGTCGATGCGGGGGAGCGGATAAACGTCCTTCTTCGTCACAGCGTTCAGTCGACGATAGTCCACGCAGAACCGCAGGGTTCCGTCCTTCTAATTTACAAGGACGACTGGGGACGCCCATGGACTTCTTGAGGGTTGGATGATGTCGTCGTCCAGCATCTCCTGGACTTGATCTTGAATCACTTTCCTTTCCTTTAAGGAGACTCGATACGGCAACTGGTGGAAAAGGGAGTGCGTCGTCGTCGGTAATAATGTGATGTTTTGGCATTGGTGTTTGGCGAACTTTCGGTGTCGTGGCAAAACAGTCACTGTATTCGGCAAGGAGATCAACCAGTTGCCGACGCTTCGGAGCTGGGAGCTCGGGGTCGATGTCGAGCCAAGGCGGCGTCGTGCTCTTCTGCTGTGGCGACGAGGTTTCCTCGGAGATTGCGGTGACCACGGCTGACGCCTGACGCTCTTCGACGTGGCTCACGGTGGTACCCTTCGTTAGGTGCTGCGGCTCCTCTCGAAAGTTGGTCACAAGAACAGTTGTACGTCCTTCTTGGAGATCCGTTGCGCCTCGTGCAACACCAATTCCTTTTTGGAGGAGCAGTTAGACGCTGCCTTCCAGAAGAGCTTCACCGTGCATGGCTGTGTCGGTTATAACTAGGGTGTGTGTATTCCGGTATTAACCGAAAAACACCGATAAACATCCGTCGGTGACGAAAATACAAAATCGGTTAAAACCGAAAAACACCGGTGGTTGGATTTTTTCGTTCTGGTTAAAACCGAAAAACACCGGTCGTGGCATGATTCCGACCTAGCGAAACCCTTTCCCCGTAGAGGTTCGTCAAACGTGTTATCTCGTGGATCCTGCATTCTTCCAGTGTTTATACATGGCTTGCACGTGGCGTCAGTCCGCCCTCCTTTCTAGGGGTCAAAAGCGTTTAGTGAACGCAGTGGAAGCTAAGCTCTCATTCGCCTTTTTCCCCATTGTGTCTCCTATGGGCCCCTTTTGTGGAAAAATTAACGCAGTGGAGGGTAGGCTCCCACGTGCCCTTTCCCCATTGTGTCTGGCCAAGTGATGTCGGTGCAAACCATGTATTCAGAGGTTGCTGAGGTTCCTGGAAGACACTGCCAACGTCCGTGTCGTACAGGAGCGTGCCTTTTCATAATTGTGGGTTGTGAACCGCAAGGAACGTGCTACCATGACGGATGCAAGCCTCTCGAGGTATGCTTGCATCTACTATAATAACCAAGTGTGAGAATTAGATGCTTCCTAGAGAAGAAGTGTATGAAATATGCGAATAAAATTGGAACTCTCTGTTTGTGATCCATCGCAATTTTTTCCACCGATAATCACCGATTTTAGCCTCGTAGTGAGACGTTCCACCGAAATACACCGGTATTTTGAAAATAAATAAACACCGAAAAACATTCGCCGATTTTTCTCACAAATAAACACCGGAAAATACACACCCTAGTTATAACGGTGACGAAAACACTCGACCGCGGCGGTAGGCTCGCATGGTCGGCGATAACTCGGATAGCGGATGACGTCGTGTTGGTCTCCGCCGGCGGCAGGACAGGCTTTCGCAGCGTCAACTGGTTTGCCGCGAGGTCGATGACGGCGTCATACTCGCACAGGAAGTCCATTCCGAGGATAACGCCCCTCGAACAGTCTTGCAGAACGACGAACTTCACAGGGCACGTCTCACCATGGATCTCGAAGCGAGCAGTGCACCTCCCGACTGGTGTGATGAGGTGCCCTCCGGCGGTACGTATTTGAGGTCCATCCCACGGCGTCGTGACTTTTTGAAGGCGGCGGGAGAGCCTCCCACTCAAGACTGAGTAGTCTGCTCCGGTGTCCACGAGTGCCGATGCGTCGAGGCCGTCGATAACAATGTTTAGGTTGTTCGACACCGATGCAGGAGCGTCGTTGTGATGTGTAGCGTTGGGAGAGTGGGAGCGCTCCGTCGTTCTTGGAGGCGCTTTGCGTCGGTCGTCTTCGGCAAGTCCACCTCCAGGGGTTGCCGCGCCTAGTTTCCCCGGCGATGAGCGAGGGGCGACAGGCTTTCACGGCGGGGTCGGTGCATCGGCGAAGCTGGACGTCGTGGCGAAGGCGATCGGAACTATCGGCGGGACGCAGGCTCGGGGGACTGAGGTCGTTGCAGGTACTCGTCGATCTCCCGAGGGTGTTCACCATACCGGGGGCGCGGGTCGTTTGGGTGGAATCCGTGCAGACCGAGTCGTCGGTATGGGCATCGGCGGTACACATGGTCAGCTTCCCCGCAGTGGTAACACAGCGGGCGTCGGTCGGCCGTCCTCACGTCTGCCTTCCTCGGCGCAGGTCGCTCTGGGTGAACGTACGCCTGATCTTCCAGTCGTCGGGGGCACTGCGGCGTTGGGGCGTTTCTTCGGGGCGGCGCCGTGGCTTGGCGGGAAGTCGTCGGTCTGGCGGCGTAGCTCAACGTCGGTTCCTCCGGCGTGGTGACGGGAACCTCTGGTTGGAGCGCCCGATGCACTTCTTCTCGGACAGCCTCGGCGATGGAAAGGGTTGGCGGACGGCTGGTGGTTGGCAGCAACCTTCGCAGTTCCTCCCGGACGACCTCCCGGATAATTTCGCGGATGTTCGTACCAGGAGCGTTTCCGCCGCTAAGCAGCGAGGCTACAGTGATGCTTGGCTGCCGCTGGTAGTGGGAAGCGCGCGCTTGGAGGGCGCGCTCGATGTTTGTTGCCTCGGTGACGAAGGCGTCGACGGCTGCCGGCGGGTTGCGGACGGGGCCTCCGAAGACGTCGTCTCTCACCCCGCGCATGAGGATTCGTAGCTTCTTCTCTTCTGTAGCCCGAGGGTCGGCGCGGACGCTCAGGCGCAGAGTGACGCTCTCGTTGGGGCCCTGGGTCCTGGTTCGCAGTAGGTCCTCGGCTCTCTCTCGGCGGTGGTGATTGACGAATGTAGCCTGCAGGTCGGTCTTGAAAATGTCCCACGACATCAAAGAGGACTCATGGTTCTCGTACCAGTGCTTGGCGGTCCCCTCAAGCGAAAAGTAGACGTTGTACAGGCGCTGCTCGTAGATCCAGCCATTGTGGCGGGCAACGCGTTCAATCTGGTCAATCCAGTCTTCAACGTCTTCGTAGAGTTCACCTTGGAAGGGGGCAGCTGTCGGCGGTGCGACGGGCATGTAGATGACGGGAGGAGCGGCGGGGGTTTGCGACTGGTTGGCCATCGTCGTCTTCTTCGGCTTGGGCTTGTCCAGCAGCAAACCTTACTCAGGATGCTCTCCCTTGGTGCGGCGGCTGGTTCGAGTTTCAGGTTCCGCGTTGAGTGGAATTTCCACCGAGCCGGGAATCGGACTTGCACTGCGGGCCCTTGGAGGGGAACGCTGCACGGGCATGCGGCACCCCGCACCTCCACCAAAATGTCACGAAAGACGATTGAGGAGGCAAAAATAACTGGGGAAACTAAACGTTTAATGGAATAACTAAACGTTTAATATTTGAATGCTGCTCATAGATTGGACGCGAGCATTGCGTGGGCACTCGATTTGGGCTCGTGATAATCTATAGAGCTCGAGAAGAATTTGGGTAGTGTCTTGTGTCCAGTCGCTGCAATGACGACAACAGGCGAACCATAACAATGTCTGGAACTCAGCGCGTTTCCTGCGCCTTGCCAACCCCAGCCCATGGCTATGATCAACATTGGCGGCATATAATCGGCTCCAGACCACGTAGCCGCTTGTTCTGGCTGCGAGTTGAGCGGGGGAACTCTGCTCGTTTTTCTTTATTTTTTTCTGCGACTTCGATTGCGTGTGTGGAAAAACGAACGGGTATTTCACAGGTCATTAACATCAGGGATCCGTTCTAAGCGGTATTTGCGCAAAATACAAAAATTGTTGCATCGCCCATTTAAGCAGCGCAGGGCGCGTAGACAGTATACCGTGCTTCTTACCTCTCCGCAGCCAAACGAGATCGCGGAATTGGTCGATAGGAACGTCGCGGAACAAATCACGAAGCGTAAAAGAAGATAACGACAAGCCCATCCCGCATTTTTTTTAGATGTCACTTACTCTTGCACCTCCGTGTTGCGTTCCGATCCGATTTATTTACGTATTTTGGGGAGAAACATTCTGGCGATTTAAGATAGTGAAGTGTTAAAAATTGCTCAAACTGACTTCCAGGCATCTCGCTGTGCAACAATTTCAGGGCTTTGCTTAAATAATTGTGGAAGTTGATGCCTGACACTTCTGCAGTGAACTACAGAAAACAGATTTTGCCTGGATACCCTAGTTTTTTTATTTTAAAAAATGAAAAAGATCCACGTTTTTGCCGCCTCTCATCTCGTACGTCGTCTTCCGGGTCACGTGCGCAGTGACGTCACTTGAGTAGGCGCGGGGTTCCAGAAAAGTTCTCTCTTTAGAGCCATCAGTGAGCAGCGAGAACTCAATCTCATCCGCTCGCGACCGCGTGACCACGCGCCCATCCGGGTCCGGCCATTCCCGTCCTTGCCCGCCCGGCGCTGTCCCCCTCCCCCTCCGGCTTCTGGCGGCTGTTCGCGGTTCTGTGGACCTAGGATAGATGGCGCCACTAAAACTACATATAATAAAAGTTTTGTCGATGATACCAGGGTTTTGACGCATTTATATATATGTTGTAACGACAAGATTTATAGAAAAGTTACCTTTTATCGAGCAGGTATTCGCGCAACTTGCTATCTTTTTTACAACTACCCAAGTGACGTCACGCCGCTTGTTTCTCATGGCCGCCGCTTGTGGCTGCAGGTCGGGAAATACTCTAAGTTTTGCCTCGCTCTTACGCGGCGAAATCGTAACATTTCGATGAAAGGAGCTGTGTTTTCTGCCATTTGTGACACAGTGAACAATATCAAAAGCAGAAAATGACAATTCTTTCAACGTTAAAATCGTTGCACAGCTCCTTTAAGGGCATTTTGATGGCTCACTCTCAGAATGAATATTAAATATTAGTGTTCATCGAAGTAATCTGAGTTATAAAGTTTGTATTTTTTTTTTTGTACTTATTACTACGTTCGGTTTTATTTTATAATAGCCGCATAAGAATGTTTCTTTTTTGTCTTTTTGACTTAGCACAGATAATTTAAGTGTAAAACGCCCGTAAACTCTATTAGCGTAACACTTACCAGAGGTAAAAGTGTATCGTCGTTGAGGTGCTCACTGGTCCAAGAACTGATGGGTTTCACTTTGCACTCGCTTGAATCCGGAATTAACGTGTGGGAAATCACAATAAACATGTCCACGTTCCTGCAAAACAATTAGTTCAAAGATATTTTTCAATCAAAGTTGGCAGTAACGTCCGTATTGTAGGGGTGTGCCATTACCGGTTCGTGTTAAATAGTGCTTTGTCATCCCTAGTTTTAATACGGCTAAGATGCCCGGTTTTCGTGCATCTACTTGTATGAGAAGGCTATTAATCATGCAGCGTTATACTATTCGAGTCTCTTATTTGTAGAACCCCAGTACTCTGACAATCATTAAGGCTGGTATCAAAGGAGTAGTGCCAACAGCGCTAATTACGAAATCTTGGGCGATCACATGGGATTACTTTGTACCTAGATTTATTGCAAAAAAAAAATCATCTGGATTCTTTTTTTTCATGACACCTAATGTTTGAAAGATATTGTATTTTTGCTTTCGTGAAAAGCGTCACTTGAGGTAGTTCTATGAGTGCTGGCAGGCATGTATCCAGAGAAGGGGGGGGGGGGCAATAGGGCCCGGGCCTCCCTCCAATCGAAATCTTCCATTTTGCTGGGGCCTCCTCTCTCCCTCCACCCCATAGAGCATTTTGTCATGGACGGGCACCCACCGAAACAAAATCCTGGCTACGTGCCTGAATGCTGGACAGAATCCTTGACTAGCCCGCTATTGCTATAATCATCCATTGAGTATTGCCTAGTAATTCCAAATAATATAAAACTTTCGTTTTAATTCAGGCAGTAATTTAGCACCATTTAAGATGTATTGCTAAAAAATTGCTCGGTATAGTTTTGTTTTTAGTATTCAACTAATTAGTGCTTTATTTTTACCTGAAAACACATTGATATTATTATTTTTTTATTGGTGAGCTTTGATAAAAGAAATTGCAAAAGTCACAAATCTATTCTGTTGGTGTAAAATGTTGCCCTTTGTAAAGTGTTACAATAGCTCTAATTGACTGTCAATGTATACAAAGCAACGTTGATGGTTTAATAAACTTTTAGCGCATGAGGAGTGTTTAGTGTCAGAGGTCAAGCTTAAAGCCCTTTTTTATTTTATTTATTTGTAATAATAAACTGTGCTTTAATGTTCCAGAGTTGTTTTAATTTAAATACTAAATACAAAGCTTTAGATTAGAATTCTTTAGACTAATACTGTCGGGATGTAGAGAAAGCGAGTGCTCCTAATTTGTGTACATTATCAAGTTGCGTATAAAACTGTGTTTAGGATCATTATCATGTTACTCATAAAGTTGCCTCTACTGTTATAATAATAAGCGTGATATTGTAGCGGATGAAGGCGACGAGACGATAAAAAATGAACTGAAAATAAAGATTAAATCCAAGAGCTTATTTCAGAAGCAAAAGAAAGAAAAAAAGCCGAAAAAGCAGCGGCGAGCGTCGACGGAGGCAGCAGCAAGCGACGGTGCGTCGGCGTAGCAGCTGGCTAGCGCGACAATGAAGGTGCATCGCCGTTTAGAGCATCTGAATGAGTCGGCAAAGCCGCGCTCGGCATCAATGCACTACACTAGTAATCTCGAGTATATGTCCTAAAATGTTCGCGAGTAAACTTGCGCGAGACTTACTAGGCAAGGTCATTCTTGCTTCCTTATCTTTTACACTCGGGGTACGAAAAAACACGTAACTTCTAAATGTACGGAGAGGCGTCCCTTCTCGCTCACGCACGCGGCAATATGACGCCTGACGTGATTAATTCAATCTTGTCTGCCCATTCATACAATTCATTTGTGAAAGACACGATTGTTGCTTGTTTTTTTTTTTTGTTTTTTTTTTCCTTCATATTAAACCGTAGCTCTTCATTGCGGTATAATATTTGCCCACAGCGGCTAGTGTGGCACTTTCGAAAAATTGTCAGAAAAACTTCCATTCATTCATATTGTTACGATAGATATTTCAGAGGTATTTTATAACTCTTCATAAATTTCTAAAGATTTCCTCGCCGTTTATAGTTTTTTATTTTAATTTACGAACATCTTAATAATATTGTTTTTATTGGCTCGTAGCTCTCGATAATTGTAGGTATTTTATGTCCTTGTTACAAGGAACATTAAAATTGTCTACGAGCAGTTTTTTTTTTTTTTTTTTTTTTCTGGAACAGAGCTAGAGGCAAACAACAATTCCGATGCAACCTATTATACTAGAACAAATCTATTTTGAACCAATACCAGATTTTTTAAAAGCACACTACCTACTCAATGTTGGAAGGAGAACACGGGCAAGGCTCGAAATTATTTGAATGATACGTATTCCAGCACTTTAATATCGAGTAAGTCTGTTCATTTTTCAGAAGATGATCTATCCGGGCTCATTTAATTATCTACACCCGTGGTGTGTAATATTTTTATTCGTGCGCAGCCTACCTGATAATGGCTGTGGAAAGATGAAGATCACTGGATTTTCCGGCACTGCTAGGCCTCAGTAGCATGCCGATGAAAGAGACGCCGGACATCGGTACTGCTGATTTCATGGCGATATTTAGTAGCTGAAAGCAAAAATAGAGGCGCGAGACGTGTGTTTTTACTGACTCTTATTTATAGTTCATTACTTATTACGGAAAAGGGGTCGTGGTAGCCTAATACTCCTTTGAGTAGCTTATTTCTGTGATATGTAAAGATGGAATTATATACGTCTCGCAATCCTACACATACTAAGAAGAAACGCTCTTGTTAGCAAATGTCACTATTTCCGCACTCCAAGAAACTTTTGGCATATTATCATTGTTTATTTTCATGAAACTACCCAAACGCATACCGATCTTGACTGCCCATTTTTTTATTTCATAGTTGTTGTTGTTGTTGTTGTTGTTTTTTTGTATTTTTAATATAATTTTGCACAAAACAAATAGTCGATTCTTAGATATCTCCCTACACAGTCTTCTGCCGGGCTGAAAACAGGCTCCCAGTTTCCATCCCTCCATTCCCTCTTGCCCTCTTCTCACTTTTCCCCACTAGTAAGCGGCTCTGAGTTACATCCCACAGAAAAGAAGGCGGTTTCACTCTTTCTCGAAAAGGAAATAAATGAAGAAGAGTTTCCTTCTTCCTGGCTGCTTGTCGTTTTTAAGCACCAAATATATTTCTGACGCGACGGGGCTACCGAGTGAGAGGAAAAGTAGAGTTTGGAATTCTAAGTTACAACTTGAAACGGATGCCTCAGTCTTATGTGCTCGAACAAATTTTCAACACCTTCATGTCTAATGTAGAGACCAAAATTGAGCAGTCTTTACAATCCAATCGCGCACGTTGCTGTTGGACTGATCCGCTTAAATGTGGAATATTTCACAGTGGAATTGTCATGATTTCTTTTAGGCACACCAAGTGCACCGCAAGTATGACAGCGCCCACTGACGAAAGAGCGAATACCTATGCACTGGTACTGCGCGGCATTCTAGCTTCGTGGGTAGCATGTCCAATGATATCTTTTGAAGCTCAAAGAAAGGCCACTAGTTAATGTACAGAAATAGTAATGGTATATGATTCATAATTCGTTGGAAGCGATATGGTCAATCACTCTTCTTCTGAACTGATCTAGTTAATGTACAGGAATAGTAATGCTATATATTTCATAATTCGTTGGAAGCGATATGGTCAATCTCTCTTCTTCTGAACTCATCTACCTCTTATTCAATCTAGTTTGACACTGAACCAGTCTCCCTTTTGACCAAAAAGTATACATTGTAATTCAGAGACATTGACTGAGCTGATAAAAGCTGTAATCCCAAATTTAGAGATATTGACCGGAGTTGTACTTGTAGGTTTGTCATTGCAAGCATGTCTTTCCGGTTTCAGCCGAAGACACCTTTCTTTTCAGAAGTACAAGTTAGGTCTTTCGGCTCCTCTCGGTGACGTTTCTTGGCGTCCAAGACTTCGGTAAATTTACGGTCACCCTTGCAAACAACCCATAATCCAACTACCAAAATTTAGTCGTGCGAGGGCGTTTTAAGATGACGTAGAGCATTGGATTATTTTTTTTTTCCTTTCGCCATCAATTTCTTATTGATGGAGTAGGGGTCTCGTCTACAAAATAATCTAAAGGGCTTGCAGGACGCATGAGGGCGCGCATGCGAAGGGAGGAGTCACCGCTGGCGCACAGCCGCGCTAAAGTCTACCAAGATTGCACGCCGCAAGCTCCCGAGTCTCCTGCAAGATCGGCGGTCGCTCCCCGCAGTAATTGGAGGCTTCAAATGGCAGACCATTGCAATACTTTTCCCCGTAAGCGGAACAGATTTTACTTCAAATTGAAGGAACTGGAAGCTGCCACTTTCTTTCAGTAGAAATGGTGTTTACGACAAAAAGCAAAAGCATGCGTGGATCTGAAGAAAGACTTATAGTGCAACGAGCGCTCCCGTGCGCCTATAGTTGCTTCTTCGCGAAGTAACACCATGGGGCGAAAACAGGGCACCGGATTGGTCGTTCTTGAGGCGCGTCAAAAATGTATGCTCCACCGGCAGCTAGAAACTGACGCCTCCGCTAGTCCCTTTTTCACTGTGTTCTTAGGACTACTATACTTTTTTTGTTTTGTTTGGACCTTATTACCTCGAGTGCTCCTGCGTAGTCAGAGGCAAAGTCCCGCTCTCTAACGGTGACATCCACGCGCGCGAAGCCGTAGCCTCGGATCCCTTTAGTGGCGTAATCCCTGATCAGATCGGCTGCGGCAGTCGACGACAGGAACTGGCCCATCTCTCTTTGCATCTTGGCCGGGAACGAGAGCATGAACACGGTGGCACCGGATTTCTTGGCCATCTCCATAAAGCGGTCTAGCTTGCCACCTGCAAGGCAAAGTAGGAGCGACAAACTCATCCCCTTTGAAACTCGCTGACTTTGCCGAGTGCATGCATTCGCAGCATCTTTGTCCCGAAATGCAGAGTGTACCAGAGATAGCCTTAAAGGGCAACTCCGCTCAATGTCGAAAAATGTACGCTCACATGTGATTTCATTTCACAAAGCACTACTAAACAGCTCTACGTCTTCGGATTTGCGAAATGTGGAATATTATTTGTGTAATCTTAATTTAAACATCAGCTGATACCGAAACCGAAACTTCTGTTGTGTCAGGCAACATTGGTCTCGTATCGTCAGAGTCGTGGCCACGTCACGTCGAACCACGTGGTCTTGTGACGTTCGTGGGGGCGAGGTAGAGGGCACGCGACGCGGGCAAGTCGCTTCGCATGGCGTGGGCGGTGATTGCCCGGGGGAAAGGGGCAGGGGAGAGACGAAAAGGAGAGGGAGAGTAGAGAAACAGACCGAGAAGCGCGCAGGGCAACGCAAACTAGCCGATCCGCGGTATGGTGATCACGTGGACGCCGTTGAGCCTACACCGGGAGGAGAAACTCATGTCGCCATCGTTCAATTTCGCTCTGAGAAGTAAAAACAAACAAAATGTGAGAATGACGTCGTCATGCCTCTGACGTAGAAGTTCAACGTTCGCCGCTTCAACTCCGTTGCATTGACTGCGCTGACGATTGAGCCTCACGTCGCACGCTAAAGTTGGCAGATTTCGGCGACTTGGCTCACTTGAAAGTTTGCTGGCCAGTTTATTAAATATATAGACGGAATTAGATCGTAATATTTGACATGGGGTCTTCCTATATGATACTGAAGAGGGCTACATAGTTTTCTAAATATCAAAAATGAAGCGGAGTTGCCCTTTAATGGCTGACCTACACAGTGTTATTCTGCCGTACATAAATTCCTTTCCCAGTGTTCTTCTCTAAATTTCCTCTCGTGCTCCTCTCTTCCTCTTCTAAAACAAGGGGGTGCTGTGCTACTTCCAGCGGAAAAGATAACTTCTCTTTTTTTTAATTAAAAAAATAAATAGAAAAGTGTGTTTTTTGTGTTTTTTTTTTTTTTTGTTTCTTTTTTTTTTTTAATGCGAGAGCATTAGCTGGACTTATGAAGCGAGCCGACGTCATCAGCTTTGAAGCCGCCGCCAAACGGCACCTAAACTCTTTTCTCCAAGTGAAGCCGCGATCTGGTGGCTCCTAGCTTTGAAGCCGCGCGAAAAGCCTAGCCAAGCGGCACATAGTTTCCCCGCTCCCAATAGACCGCAGTGAAGCCGAAATCTGATGAATTTCGGCCTCGGTACCATTGGCTGGCGCGCGTCATAGTTTCAAGGAACGAGGCTCCCCATAAGCCGCGGCTCGTCGCTTTCAATGACCGCCACCCTATGGCACTGCGTGTCTGCGCCGCCAGCGCGCCGGTAAAAGGAAACGTTTTCACGCGGCGAGAAGAGCGCGCTCTAGGCCGTCAACGCCAGTACGCCGCAGACGAAATAAGGAAGCGGAAGAACGACATGCATGCTTTCGCATTCACAACTCATAAGAAGTGCTTAGGTGTACCTCGAGTCTTTTTTGTTTCTGAGTGCTCGCCACGCTTTTGTATGTATGTAAAAACGTTTATTCGATGCCGCCTTCTGGCTTGAAGGCCTCAGAGTAAACGGAGGAAAGGGAGAAGGGAAGTGAAAATTACGATAATTAAATGAATCTGCCGACCCTGGAGGGTTGGAGAAACTCGATAAGAGATATTGTAGACGAGTTTTTGTTCACCCTGAATGGCGGTGGTCAGTTTCGTCCGCCGTACAACGATGTTGGGTATGAATTGCTTTTCACTTATCACCAGCCTTACCTGCACTAGTGGGACTCAAGCATGCTCGCACACAACACCACTGACCAAGACGGTTCTTCGCGTCACAGCGTAATTTTAAGGATATACCGGACGTTTTATTCCGGTCTTACCTTCGCAAAACTTGATGACAAAGTAGTGGAGACCACATTGTTGACGCTGTCAACAATGTGATTTCCATGATTTTGTCATCGAGGCTTGCGATCCCCGCGATGACGATATGTAAATGCGGCTCTGCCACTGCGTGAGCATTCGATTAAGCATTCGATTGAGGCTCGTGACAATCAATTCCTTGGCATGAATTTTTGTAAAGGACTGTGCCCGATTGCAGCGACGACGGGATAGCAAACCTTAAGCATGAGACACATATGAGCAAGAATCGCGTCGCGTCGCCATGCGGCGTAACCATGGGAACCACTAATGCCGTGCCGTGCTTGGCGTGCTTGACGGCGCGATGCGACGGGATTTTCGCTCACGTGTGTTTCAGGCTTTAACAACGTGTAGAACTTAGCCCGTGACCTGTGCTTCGCCAACCCCAGCGTGTGGCTATGAGAAACATTGGCGACATATAATCGGCTCCAGGTCACGTGGCCGCTATTTCTGGCTGCGTGTTGAAAGAGTAAACGCAGCTATATTAACATTTTTTGTAGACAGCCTTTACGTGAAGAGTACCTAACGCGTTCTGATAAGTTATGAATATCAAGACGTAATTCTAAGCGGTATTTACTGAAAGTATCAAAAATTGTGTCATTAAGTCTTATTCACAAAGTAACGTTCAATAGGTTGATTACGTTGCGCCGCAGCACGAGTGCAATGCTGGCTCGCTGCGACGCCTTCATGCCCGCATCTGCCACACTGACGCGTACTCTCGCCATGCTTCAGAATAATTTCTGCTTAGTGCAGCCCGGGGATTCCCCAACAATGAAGTAATGTTCATGTCTTGTTGTTTAGGTAGTTTTGGCAATCACGTGTGATCGGTGTCTGGGAAAGCAAGCAAAGCATTTGTCCTATAAAGAATGAAAATTCATCAAAGCGCATTTCTTCGCACATTGGTGAGAGAGTGATCACGTGTGCGACGAACGCAACGAAGCTCCGCCCCGCAGCAGTTGTCTGCTCTTCGGCGGTGGTGACGGAGGGGAGCAGACGACGTCTAGGCCGTGATTGCCTCGTTCATTGCAGCACATCCGGTACTTATTCGTCGACACAAAAAATAACCTTTTGAGTTATTTTCTCTACCCTTTCTCGAAGTCTAGGCCCTCGTTCGCAAAGAACCGATGGGTTTCGGAAAGTTGTAGAAAAGATAAGACAGTAACTGCTATACCACTAGCAGACGACGCCGGCGTTCGGCGCCCGAACGACTTCCCTCCGGCAAGATGAGCAGACGATACTTTTGCTCGTTCTGATGGAGGGATACAGTGGGTAAAGACAAATCCAGCTAGATTTTGCGTCTGCCCACTATCCTTACAATTACAGTTCGCAACTGTGACGTCACTGTACCCTCTGCGCCAGAAGCAGACGAGCGTGCTCGCAGCGTAGGCCTGACTCCTGAATTACAAATTTTGCGCATCACATGTTGCAAAGCAAGGTGTCCGGCCATCGCCATGTTTTTCTTCCTGATAGCACGTATGTTCAATGGACCTTTGTTCCGGTCGCCCTCTGCGAATGCGCCTACTCTCGCTCCCAATGCGCTGTCGCCATTACGGGAAGATATCTTTCGACGTCAGTTTAACGCGTGTTGTGATCGTGTTCATCGTGTTTCTCTGCAGTCTGTAGAGACTGCGTGGCGAATTTGTTTTTGTTTTTTTTCCTATGATTCGGCATCGTCGGTAACATTGCTGCTGCCGAAGCTAAGCCGAAGCAGACATTCTTGTATCGAAAGAGGCCATCGTGGGTTATAAACGAAGTTAGATCTCTGTTCTCCTCGGCCAACTCCATTTGATTATAGGCCGATGAGACATCACGCTTGGAGAATAGTGTCATCCCAATCAGTTGATGAAACATTTCCTTTGGATATGGAAGTGGTGTGAATGACGATTGCCTGATTTGGCTTTCGTAAGTCCACGCAGAGTCGAATATTTCCTGTCTTCTTCCAAGCCACGAGGACTGGAGAAACCCATTGGGATTCGTCAATCCTCTCAATCACGCCTGTAACCTCTAACTTCCGTAATTCATTAGATACCTTTTTTCGTGCAGTCAGTGATAGAGGACGACGTTTTTGTTGCGCCGGTAAAACAGTGGTTCGTCTTTTGGCTCTGTGGACAAAGTCCTTCACGAGTCCCAAATCCTCTGAAAATAGTTGTGGAAACTTCTCTTTATACCACTGAAGATTTTTCTGATCTCCCATGAACTGTTGGTGCCACGAATGTTTTTTTGATATCTGTCATCATCTGCAAGTATCGAAGGATGTCTAATCCAGCCAATGGTTTGCCTGACGTGACATGAAATGTGCAGGTAGTTCGTCTTGTGCCAAACTATAATAACCCACTGGAGTAACTCCTAAGTTCCATGTTAGAATGCTCGAGCTTGGTGTGTCGAAAATGTGCGCTGTATACCGCCCAAGATATAATGGAAACTGGCAATCCGGTGTCCACTTGCAACTTGACCAATACGCCAGCGATGGCCACCTCGCTGCACAAGCTGTCTAAACGTCCCTTGATGCTCATTAGCCCTTTGGCCTTGATGGATGAAGTAGTCTTCACCGTAATTGATTTTCTGAATACTGAAGCGAAATGACCGCGTATGCCGCATTTCTCGCATATCTTTGTTCGCGCTGGGCATGAAGAATGGTCAGCTAAGTGAGCCAAACATCCGCATCTGTAGCACTTCTGACCTTGTTTTGGAGAATCTGATGTAGTTCTTGTAAGAGCTGAAACCTTACAAGCGCTTGCGAATTTCTTGCCTTCGTTGAGTAGCCTAGACTCGTGCAGAGCTTGTTCCACCTGTCTAGCGAGGACGAGTGCTGTGTCCAGTGTTAAATCTGATTCGAGCAAAAGCCTCTCTTGCACTTCCTTGCTGCTGGTTTTCTCTATCAGCTGGTCACATATTAAATATTCCGTGAGTCTTACAAACTTGCTTGCCTTGGCCAGTCTCCGCAATGTCGCCGCGTACTGTTCGATCGTTTCTCCCGGTAGTTGTGCCCTTTGACGGA